GCACAACTCCATGTGACCATATGCATCATATCAGGGCTTCTCTTGCCGGCTTCTTCACCTTGCAGGCCAGCACTGTCACATTGCTCTGTTAAATATCTGCCTCCCAGTGAGCTGGGCAAAGATAGCTCCCTTCTGTGTGCAGAGTTATTTAAGCCCTTCAAATGCTGGCATGTTACCTAGTCAGTATTTCTGCAGTAGGACTTCTCAATCAGATCTTCTGGCAGAGTGAATAGGTCCTATCTGTAGTTTCATGTTGAAACCCCAACTCATTGCAGAGCTCTGGGGAAGAGTCAGGCTGGTACTATGTGCTTTGAACTTAATGCCACAGGGACCTGCATCTACAGCAAATCAGATGGGGATTTGGATATATCAAGATGTGTCAAGAACACTGTGGCTTGACCCAAAGTATATGCACTAATGATTCACATTAAGGAGTTACTAAAGATCTCCTGGTACTTGTCACTGTCCCAGGGATGATTACCTTGCTGTCCTGGCTGTTTTCCATGCTGGTTAACAGCATCCCACCAGGGACTGTAAATCCTGCCCTTGCACAGCCCTGCCTGTTTCAATGTTGTACACTATGTGACATCTCCTGACTTACACTGTTTTTAGAGCTGAGCCTTATTTCACATTCCAAAGTCACGCAGACACAGCCTCTTAACCTCCTCAGCAATAATTCCTGCAAATGAGAGTCTCCACACAGAAAGATACTCTATATTTTCTAGCACATTAATCAAATAACCATCCAGTTGTTGCCTTACACGTTGGAAGTGGACGTGTTGTCAAATAAAATGATTTTATACATTATCCTCTGTACTTCCCAGATGGGGAATTTAGCAACATCATGTGAACAAAGTCCTTTAGGAGAAGATCGATGTCTATTCATCTCATCTTCTGTTGCTTAGTCAGGAAATCTCCTACTTAATGTTGCTCCCTAGAGGAGCTTTCCCATCCCTAAGTTTTAAACCCACTGATTTTCATTAAGTGCATGTTGAAAGGAGAGTCCTGACTGCCATTATCTGAGGGCTGTTGGTGGCAGTTACCAATGACCCCAGAGAAAAAGGAGCAAGAGAGCAGCTATCGGGACTTCTGTATGGCCAGGTGTTCCTTGGGAACCCTGACTCTTGGCTTACCCTGCTGTGTCACAGCTCAAACCGAAAGCGTTGCTTAGTCTGCTGAAAACGCTACTGAGGCCTGGGTTAAAGAGCTTTTCCCACCAATGTACCCAATGCAGGGACTGAGATTGGACTGTGCTGTGGCTTGGTGGTGGAGTTTTGTGATTTGCAGAGTGGCTTTTCACTTCTAGGGGAGGCTTTTGGATGGCTCCTGTTGTTCTCTGCTTTCGAGCTGAGTTATGTCTTGGCCATGATCAAGCTCAAGAGAGAAAAGGGAAGGCTAGGAAGTGTAGTCCTTTCCTCGTGCAGAGCGACCAGAGGCTGGGGAATGAAAGCTCCTTGGCTGAGTGAGGTGGGCTTCAGATTTCTCACTTTCCATTGCAGTGAGCATGCTTGTCAGAGCCGCTGTGCCGCCAGCCCCTCTCGTGTCTGCCTCTGCCTCCGTTAATTTCAAGAAACTGTCAGGATGTTCTTGCAGCAAAATGTTCCCAAGCCTCCTGCTCCGCATGGTCTCTGCCTCTTGGTGTCCTCCTGTCACATTTCTCACATTAATGTGATGTCTTCCCAGGGCAGTGTTACATTCCAGCCCTTCTCCCCATCCATCTCCCTCTCTCTCCATGCCTTCTGAGGAGGTAGCTCTCAGTGTGGCTGCAGGTGAGAGATGAGATCTGTGTTTTGGCCTCCAGACAATTTATGACAGATGAGGACGCAGCTGTAGTTAAGGCTGCTTTCGTAGCCCTGGAGAGGAGCGAGATGCTTGCAGTGGCTAGGGTGCCTGGGAAAGGGCAGCCCCCACCATCCACAGTGTGCTGTGAGGGGTGGCCTGGTGGGCCACCGCAGCCACCCTCCATCAGCACTGCCTGTGTCTGTGCAGGGCGCCTGCGGCTCTGGTCTGTGGCAGTTCTGTCCCTGACCTGTTATTTCAGAGCTGGGTAAAAAATCCTTTTCTCCCTATTGCTCATAGAGAAGGAGGAAACCAGGGATTTACTTCATTGGGCACCAAGTTCAGGCACCCTTTTTTGCAAAGCTACCTGAAGCTTGGGTGTGTGGTAACGGTTGAGCTTGCAGCAGGGCTGAGCTGGTCTAAGAGTCCAGAGGGTTTGCTCTCTTGGTTTCCTGACCCAAGGGGATGCACTTTTGCAAAGCCAGCATCTTGCTGCGTGACCCTCCATGGATCCCCACTGTGTTTCCTTTCTCTTTCTTGACTATTTTTTTCCTTTTTTAACATTAAAAATGACTAAGGAAGTCTCACCCTCGTGGAACTACTTAGTAGGCCACATAGAGCGCTCTGCACTTAACAAAATGTGTGTGCAGGGAGTCGTTACTCCTTCACAGCTTTGAGTATTCATTGCACAGATGAGGGGCTTGTCTGAAATCAGGCTTTCCATACACAGAGCACATGGCTGGGGAGATCACTGGCCGGGCACCCACCCTCATTAAATAAGCATTTCTTCTCTGCTCTAGTACATGCACACACCACTTACGGAAATGGGAGAGCCACAAGGAAGGAAGGAAGAAGGAACAAAAGGACAGTTGCTATATGAAAGCAAGCTCAAATGGTGTGCATGCATGATATTCATTGCATGAAGTCTGAGAATAGCTCTGTCATGATATTGAAGCTGGCCTCTGGGAAAAAGGGTCTGTGGGGTTATTTTCCACATTTTTGCAGACAAACAATACTGAGTGATTTGGAGCTCCTAGGATGGAAAAAACCGTAAGAAATAGTAATTATAAATAGGATTTTAAAAAGTAACCCATGTTCAGGAAGCACTGCCCGCTTTTGAAAATCCCGCCTTGTGTTTTGTGGTATATGAGCAAGGACAAGATCAGAGCTATGAATCAGCTGCAGGTTTAACTCAGCAAATTGAACAAGCTTTGCAAAGTATCAAGGGCCCAGACAACATCTGGTTCAAAAGCCAAACTCAGTCAACCTCTCAAATGAAAATGCAACAAAATCAACCCAATGAAGTCTTAGCAGAGCACCAACATTTACACTGGAGACATATTATTTAAAATCCCACATCCTTCGGGCTGGATTAGTGAAGACTGAAAGGGTCTAGTGCAGGGAAAGGAGCCTTGCTAGTGTTAGTGCAGGATATGGATAGAGCAAGCACTGGCAAAAATAAAGCTGATTTAGCTTAAAAAGAAGAATGAGAGGCAATTTTTCTTGCATATTCCTGCACTGATGGATATAGCAGAGGTTGTCCAAACTCTTCCTTCTACCCCATATGCCATCAGTTGAAAGACAGGGTTTGGGCCCAAGACCAAAATGAGAGTCAGCACAGGGAATAGGATTTCCACAGTCAGACTGTAGGAGCAGTTATGACTTGAGGGTCAAACTGTAGGATGACTGAATAATTTTCTGGTCATTAATGGTATCAGTAGGAATGCAAGCTGCAGTGACGAAAATTAATTAACTCACCTATTTTCCATTGTGAAATGGTGATTTTCAGGGGGGTTCTGGCAGTGGCAGCATCCCCAGGATACAGGGCTGGACTGCTCATTCTCTGAAGTGCCAAGAACTACTGGATAAAGGGCATAGTGATTTGAAGCTTGGGGCTATTTTTCCAGACACTGCGAATGCCAGTCCTGCTTTTCTCCTCTTTTCCATCCCCAGCCAAGACTGGTTGTGCACAGCATGATTTGAACGTTGAGGCTGGGCAGGGATCCAGGGGAGGTCATAGTCGCATGGCTACGTGTGGGTACAGAGCTGTGGGAAGCAGAGGGTTATTCACTGGCAGAAGGGGCAGCTGGCCTGGTGGCTATCAGGGGCAGTTGTTTTGGGGTAAAGGAAATGCTTTTTATGTGGAACTGATTTTTTTGTCTAAAAAATGCAGCTCCAGATCGGGTTTGAGTCTGACTGGAAGTCCAGGAGCCCTAAGGTGGCAAGCATATGCCTGTTTAGAGAAGTTGCGTTTATATCAGCATGAAGTTATATGTGCTCATCAATGCACGTGTAAACAGTGTTGCATTTAAGTGGGTGTGAGATCAGCCCAGAATAAAATCACCAATCCCTCCTGTCACAAGTGAGGGATGAGATTGAATGAAGCCATGCAGCCACCAGGAAAGTGAAGGGAGCGCAGGGGTCACTTTCAGCCCATGACAGTCAGTGCAGCCCCGGCAGGAAGGAGGTAGCAGGTTGGCAGAGCCTTCAACTCATTTCCCTTGTTCTGTTTGTGTGTGAAAGCCAAGGGATGGTGACATCTGCATAAGGCAGGTATTTGCCATGAAAGAAAACCATAGCACAGTGAGCTCTTCAGCGAAACGCTCCAAGAACTTGTAAGAAATTTGCCGAAGGAGACATGTAGGATGTGTTGCCTGGCTGCTCCAGCACCTATCAGAGCAGGCTGATGAAGCTGCTGAAACCTCATCACCTAGGGTTCTCTCTGATGTGAATGATATCAGAGTGGCAGATTGCAGGGTCCGTCCCAGCCTGTGGGGCCAGCAGGAGCTGCCAGCAGGGAGGCAGCATCATGGTGCCCACAGGATGTGTGTGTTTGTGTGTCTGCTTTTGCACGTGTGTGTGTGTGTGTGTGTGTGTGTGTGTGCTGGGTAGTCAGGCGAAGGAAACCTGCTTCTCTGCTGGCCATCAGACCTCATTGCTGGTGGCTTCTGAGCCCCTCGCTGGTTTGCTGGGGAATCAGCAGTATTTTTGTCTGACTTCGCTTTGCACGGTGTGGCCTGTCATCGTGCCTTTGGGTTAAATAGAAAATTGGCCAGTGTCACTTGCAGGAGTGGGGCTTTAGCCTTTCTCAAGGGCCATGTTGAGCTTGTTCATTGGGTGAGAAAACTTTGACTCTAATGTACCCATTCATCTCCTTCCTTCACTTTTGCTTCTCTGTTCCCTTCTCCTCTTTATGACCCTTACTATTTTTCCATCCACAGCAAAACAGTTCACATCAAGGTAATTGATGATGAGGAGTATGAAAAAACCAAGAATTTCTTCATTGAGCTGATGAGTCCCCGCATGGTGGATATGAGTTTACAAAAAGGTGCAGTACTGGCCCTGCAGACTAACATTAACGTTCTTCTTTCCTCTTCTTTTCCATCTCCCTCCTCTTCTTCTCCTCTTCCTCTGATGTCTCTCTGTCTCCAACTGCTCTGCCCTAAACACTGCTGTGCGCGCACACCGTGTCACATGGTACCCATGGGGTGGCGTGGGGAGCGGTGTTAGAAGTGGGAGAGGCAAAGTGGCCAGGGGTGCAGAGAGAGAAGGATGGAAAGCAGTCCTGCTTGTCTGTATTTCTGTGGTAGCTTAAGAGGGACCTTCTGCCATCCCCACTGGAGGGTCCAAGTAAATTTTATAGTGTCAGTGGGAAGATGCTGGCTAGAAAGATATCCAGCATCTCAGGATATCATCACCCAGCCCTCGTCCTATGGTGTGTCCTGGTCAGACCCATGTTCGAAAAAGACAGGAATCAAGGCCTGGTAGAAAAGCTGCTCCTATAACTTCTGAGAAGGACTTGACAAAGGCTGTGCAGCCTTTGGTCCAGCTGCTGCGGAGCAGCTCTGGGAGGGCAGGAAGAGCTGATGCCCCGCTTTGGTTTGCCTGAGGGCTCACAGTAGCTGTGTGCATTGCAGGGGTGCTGGAGGGAGCCATGAGTGAAGGGGCCAGCCCCACTCCAGTGCCCAGGGTATTTCTGTTTGAGTCTTGGAGGCATTTTAATGCCATTGTGTCCCTTGTGAGGTCCCAGCAACGCTGTCTGTTCCCTGGGGAAGCTGTGCCTTCACCCAGGGGACAGGTCAGGGGGAAAAGGCAGATGCTCTCAAGGAGAAAAAGCAGTAAGATGTGCCGTTTTAAAAGTAGAAATTAGAACGATCAGCCTTCTTTGCAGTTGACAGAGCTGTAGCCTGCTGGCAGAAACCCACCTCACCCCACTGGGGAATGTGTCTGTGAATGCCCATCTCTCTCTGTCCTCTTCAGGCTTCCAGCCCAGAATCCCTACAGATTTATTATTAATTGTGAGGGTAGCAGAAGCAATTGATCTTCCAGCTAAAATGCAGTGGGTACCTCAGGGTGGTCCCTGGTGATTTCCAGGCAGCCAATACCCTTTCCATTACCATCTGACACTGAAAACAAATGCGCTGCAGAAGTCGCCTTCCACTAACCATCAGCAAGGCCCTCCTCCTGCTTTCCTTCCCTCCCTCCTCACCTCCTCGCCAGCCCCCTCTCCTCCTAACACCCTCCCGCTCCCAAAGGAGCAGCTGTGATGGATGCCCCGTGTCCAAGAGGCAGGCCGACGTGCACCGCTCCGGCGGGGAAGGGGCTGTGTGCCAAGAGCCCGCACTGCTGCCACCACTGCTGCTGCTGCTGCCGCCTCACCTCCGGCCAGCTGACCTGCTGTACACGGTTGTCTTTCTTGTTGTCCCTACAGGAAGACCGTAAGGGTTAAGATAGTAGATGAGGAGGAATACGAAAGGCAGGAGAATTTCTTCATTGCCCTTGGTGAACCGAAATGGATGGAACGAGGAATATCAGGTGTGAGATCCTTTATGAAAAAAAAATGAAAAAAGAAATAATCAGAGTCAAGTCTCCAAACCCCAAATCCAGAAAATATAACCTTCTTTCTCCTCCTTTTCCCTCCCTCCTTTTCTCCTCCTCCTGTAGATGGATCAATTTTTACTCTCTGCCCTCCTGTATTATTGCTTTCACCCTGTTTCGGTGTCATCTCTGCCTTGTAGAGCCCAGCTTACTTACAATCCTCCTGTTGTGCAATGCTTGAGCCTTGGAGGCTGTATTATTTTGATCGGGTTTCCTTGTCTTAATATGTTTTTTTTGTTCTGAGCACACCTCTGCTGTTCTTCCCTCTCCTGCTCCTTTGCCAGGACCTTGGGGAATGAGAAAGCCAAGAGAAGGGTGTAATGCATGGCTGTCCCTTCAGCTACTCCCGTATGCACCCCCAGTCCTTCCCTCTGTTGTTGCGTGCCAGTGGCATTGCATTGGTGCTCTTGGGTCCCTGTGCAGTGCAGTGAAAAGCCCATGAGAGAAGAGGGAAGGTGTGAGGTACCCCCTTAATGTGGCACAGACAATTGCAGTTCGTCGTGGAGGGTGCAGGGCTCTGCTGAGGTCCTTCTTCATCAGCAGTGAACCTAGTGATCTCCTAGCAGAGCAAGATTATAGTGGGAGTAAACCCTGACTTGTGGTTGTGTCTTGCCTACATGTATCTTTGTCCTTGTCCTATTTGTGTTTGACTTCTTCCTTGCTGAGTGGGTCTTGCCGTTGGATTCACCAGCTTTGGGGTGGCCCAGGAGCCAGAAGCATTTTACATAAGGGAATTCAAATCTACCTTCTGGGTGTCTGATATGGAGTGGAGACAGACGTGTGTGCCCATGAGCTCTGATGATGTGCTCCTGCCCATGATGGGAGCACCCGGCAGTTGCCCATGCATCTCACAGCTTTCCCTTGCTGAAATGTCTCCCATCTCTTATCTCGCCAGCACAGCAGCTGCCCTCTGGCCAGTCTGAGCTCCCATGCACGGCTCTCCAGGACGTTTGGGATAGACGCAGCTTGCATTAGCATGACAACGTCATACAGCATCCCTGGCTTTGTAAAATGTAAACCCAAAGAGGATTCATAGTTTAATGCCTTTAGATTGCCTCTGGCATTCTGTAGGTCACGAGGGACATTAGGATTCATGTGTGTTGAGCACAAGCCCTCAGGTTTCACCGAAATCCGACTGCCCTTGAATGGAAGCAGTGACCAACCTGCCATATCCCATGAGGGTATGTTCCAGCAGTTAATTGCCTTTCAGGATGAAGATGTGAGCACAGCTTCTAGGTAGAAGTTGCCTGGCCTTGGCTTGTAGCCACTAGTAATTTTCCTACTTTTCTCTGTCAGATGACGGAACTATATAGTATGCCACAGCTTCTGTGTAGGTACCTGCTCACTATACCCATATTACACTTGGATGTTTTCTTGTGAGTTTAAGGAGATTAAGCTCTTTGAATCTGTCAGAAAAGTGTTCAGCCCTAGGTCAAAGTCTTCAACCCTGGAATCAGCCTGGGGTTTCCTCTTCGCATGTGCCCCTTCCTTAGCAGGTACAAGGGGAAAATCACCTGCCTCTGGCTCTCTCCTGCTTATGCACTTGGCAGCTTGGAGCATCACACTGAAGTTTATGCTCAGTTGTCTGCTCTCTGCGAGCCCTGCATCCTTTTCTAAACCAGTGAGCTTCAGGGTACAGAGTCAGGATCGGCTGTTTTTTGTGAAGTCCTGCACTTCTTTTTCCCACACAGGCCACGTTGCATCCAACTGAATAAAAACACGTATTTGAAAAAAATCCAAATAGCTCCTAACATCGTTCCATTGTAAAATGTCCTCGTTTTTATTAGGACAGACAGATTGCTGTACTGTGTGTCTCATTTACACCAGCATCACTTGGAGTCAGTGGAATGTCTTGATTTGCACAGGCAGAGTGGAAATGAGAGTTGGACTGAATGATCTGCAGCACAGGATCTGCAGGCTAGGAGCTTACCTCACTGCCAGTCAGGGTGCACTGTCGGATGGACCCTTTTTACTGGGAGAAAGTAAAGGACCCTGCTGAGGAGGAGATGCAGAGCCTTGGTTGGCCTCGTAAACGAAAAGTCAGAGTGAGAGCACTGTGGGATTAAAATCTGAGAGGCCAGAGATTAAAACACATTTGTAAATGTTGCTGGCACAAGGTGGCACAGTCACTACACCAATTCCAGGGCATCTGGAAAGATCCCCAGCTCTGTAGTGCTGGATGCCATGGCATCTCCAACAAGCATATGTTGTGCCTGGGATGAAGAATAAGGAACTACGCAGGACCTTCCCATGCAAAGCATCAGGAGTGATCAAGAGCAGATGCTGTCACCAGCAGCTTCATGGGGTGCACATGTGAGCAGCCGACTCCCGGCGGAGAGGCAGCAGCCCGGGATGCGCTCAGGAAGCACGCAGCCTGCCGTACAGCTCCGGGAAGGGATGCTCATGCTGGCTGCTGCACATGTGTTCTGTTGTCATCACGCCATTGCAGGGGCAGATTCCAGATGGTTTATGTATTGCAAAGCACGCATACAACTGAAACAGACAGCAGGCTGCAAGGTCAGTGCAACCACCTCGGTGTGTGGGTGCTGCCATTGCCCCACACCCACAGATGGAGGGAAACATCCCAAAACACAGGTGCCTAGCTGGGACTTCATTTGGGTTTGTGGGACTTCACTTGGGTTTGCAGTGGTGAGTGGGCCCCCAAGCAAGCGCAAAGAACAGCTTCTGCCTCTCCTGGGAGGTTCAGGCTAGATTACTTTTGATGAAGAGTCTCTCTGGGTTTTCAGCTACCCACACGTTTGTTTCCAGCACCACAAAAGATGTGGTTTTCTTGATGGTGTGTCCTCCTTCTGTTGTTACTCTGCACTTAGCCTGTGCCTGTAGGAGTATTGGTTATTCTCAGACAGCTCTTTGCAAAACAGCTCTTCTGGCCCCTGTTGGGAGCTGGGTAGTGTTGGGCACCTCAGCTGACTGGCAGTCATGTTTGGAAGTAATCTGCAATCTGGGACATGCAGAGGCAGCCAGTCCATCACAGTTATGCTTGTACTACCATAGCTTTGTGCAAAGGGTCTGCACTCATCCCGGGACCCCCCCATGCAGGGGAAAGCTGCTCTAGCTTACCTTAAGGATAGAAGTGAGGTAGTAGTGATGAAATCAGTGATGAAATGTGATGCCCTGAAGGGAAGGCAGAGCTGAAGGGCAGGGTTGAGTAGATGGGTGCTTTTCAAACCAGCTGAGGCAGTCTGGATGGTTTATTTTGAGATGTAGAACTTGGTCCAGAGCCCAGTGCTGTTCAAATCCAGTATGCTGTCCCTGAGGGTACCACACTGCTGCTGGCTGCAGTGGCAGTGGTTCATGATAGACACACACTAGAGGAGGATCCAGGCAGGAGTAGGGTTTGTTACCGTAGAGCTCACTTGCATTGCTGATTGTGCTGCCCCATACACATGCCAGTACAAAACAGGCACTTCCAGTCAAGGGACCATCTCC